CTCTGGGGCAAAGTCTTGCTACAAGCACTTATGTTGGAGAAATAATGTTCGCCATTATAGTAGCAATCTTGGGTCTTGTTCTGTTTGGCTTGCTTATTGGAAATATGCAAGTAAGCTCACATCATAAGTACAACTTAATGAGTTGCATCTGATTTCTCATGGAATTAATTCCACCACGGCTTTACCACTATTAGGACATTCCTACTATTGGTCCTGAACTTTTTATTTTTCCACTTTTAGTCTCGAGACTCTAAACTTCGTCACTTATGATCCTTCCAGTCACTTTTACGACGGGACTAACGTAAATGTATTTGCTGACTGGCAGACATTTCTGCAATCGACTACGGTCCGGTTAGAAGAGTGGAGAACCAAGAGAACTGATACCGAAAGATGGATGCGGCATAGGCAGCTACCTCTAGAGTTGAGGCAGTCTGTAAGGAAGTATGATCAGTATAAATGGATTGCAACTAGAGGAGTTGATGAGGACGCTTTATTGAAAGGTCTTCCTCTGGATCTTCGACGCGATATTAAGCGCCACTTGTGTTATGATCTTGTTCGACGGGTAAGTTATGAAAACCAACTCAATGAAATTACTGTGCTGTTTCGGATTCAGTTTCCAAAAGACCAGAAGCTCTCTTAGAAACAGCTTTTCACTTTCTAAACTCTTGGTTTTTTAATGAATTCAGAAAGCACATTATGAATGTAAATGAATGTGCGTTTGGCAAACACAGCTTTGAGTTCCTTTTCACTTTTTCAATTGAAATTTGAGGCAAATTTCAACAACTCTACTTTACTAAATGGACTTCTGAAAAATCACCCACTTTATCAACCCACGTTTGTCAAACTACCTTTAATATTTTGAATTCCAAACACATAGTGTCGTGGTCTAAAACGAAAACAGGCATGTCCTTTTTTGGAAGAATTAGGCATATCTTGTTAATACACCACTTTTTATTAGTAGCTGTATATTTCCTTCTTGGATGGTTTTTAACTTTCATAAATTGAAAAACATCATGATCAATTCGGAATATATCATACAAAAATGGGAGATTTCCCAAAATAAGAGTAAATGAAGTTTGAAATTTCAAAATAGGATTACTTTGTTTTTATTCCCGAAATGGGACTAACATGGCAATATTTACTCTCATCTTGTAGCCGTGACTGACAAATAGTTGCAGTACAGTGCATTTAACATGACAGTATTTATTATAATTAATGACAGTATTTATTATAATTAATGACATTATTTTTCAATCATGGCAGTATTTTTCATACATGACAAAATTGACAATAATAACTCCTATTTCGGGAAGAAAAACATACTAGTCCTATTCTTGGAATTACAAGTGTCATTTGCTCCTATTTTGGGTAATTTCCCTACAAAAATACTCTATCTGTTCTCTTACTTGTTTATTTTCTTTATCTACTCTCTCCAACATTCACTGATCGTTATCCTACAATTTTTCTTTAAAGTGGAAAACATATTAATTAACTAACAAGATAAATGGAGCAATTAAAATATTACTAGCAACTAGATTCATTTTTTTAAACTTTTTCCTTTAATCTAGGGAGTGTTCTTTATATGATATGAGTATATCTCGAGCAATATGGTCAAAGAACTATTTGAGAATAATTAGTCTCTTTCAACGAACTACCATCTTGAAATGTACACTGATTTTTTTACATCAAATAAATAATGAATAAATAACCTAACATGTTGAGTCTTGAATTGTTTATCAAATAATTAATGTTTTGAGGAAAGATAAGTCTGGTCAGATGAATGATTTTTATGGAGTAACTCCATTATAGAGTGATATGAGTTAACTTGGCCACACCATCAACAATTTTTTATAGTAAGATCACAGATCATTTCAAATAAACAATGAAAAAGGTGGATGATGGTGAGGGCAAGTAAGCCAAATAGTTAATTACTCAAAATCATATGTGATTTCTAAAATGTTTAGGTAAACTACTATATTTAGAAGATTGTATCCATTAATATTTTTTTGAAGCAAAACTAGGTTCGTTCTTCTAGATTTTAGTTCTAAGTTCAACTTAGTTATTGCGGAGTACCTCCTACCACATAGGCATGGACTCGGGCCGGGCCTGACCGGGCTTTTTTTTAATTCTTGAGGCCCGGAACCGGCCCGGGTAGCTACCGGGTACGGGTCAGGCCGGTTGCCCCGATTTTTTTTTCTAATTACTTCCTATCCTACACCCCAAACCCCTCCAAAACACCCAGCCCAACCCATTTACCTCCCAAAGATTGTGAAAAAAAAAAAAAAATTGGCCCGAGCTGAGCCGGTTCACTATCTGGAGACCCGAAACCCGCCCCGAAAATTGACGGTTCGGATGGGTCAGGCCGGGCCAAAAGAGTACTGGGCCGGGCCGGTTACTGGCCGGTTGGCCCGACCCGAGTCCATCCCTAGTACCAGATATCATATTATAATAACTTAAGTTGTCAAAGCATTTATGTTCACCTTGGGGTATGTTTGAGAGTTCAGGAGGAAGGGGAGGGAGAAACCTTGAAAGTAAGTTGTTGGAGAGGAAGAGAGGGGAGGTGAGAAAACACTTCTTATTTAGAATTAGAATTGGAATAAGATAATTTTAGAGTGAATTATAATTAAAATCAATGACCAGATATGACGAATTCATATAATTGAAGTGATATTCATTTTAAGTTGAGTTTAAATTATTATTTAGTTAATATCCATTAAACCATCTAAAATCATTCCTTCATAATTTTAAATTTCAAACACAAATAAGAGAGTAATTGATCCTTACATGTTTTCCTCTCCCTTCAAATAATCAACTCTCAAACACACCCTTAAGAAAATTCTAATAACTTTAATAATTCATTATTAGATAACACAATTACATGAGGTTGAATAAACTTATTAATTTTTATAAATCAACCTTCATCCATGCAAAGATTTATACATGCATCTATATGCAAGTAACTAGGTTATCTAATTTTTTTGTAAAACTAATGCACTTAAGTTTATGAAGCTCATTAGTTTCAATTTACTCAAATAAACTATTGAATTTTCAAGTTGTGTTTGATTCATAGGTGCCTTTATTCGATGAAATGGACGGAAGGATGATCGACGCCATATGCGAGAGGCTGAACCCCGTCCTTTGCACCAAGGGCACCTGCCTCATGCGGGAGGGCGACCCCGTCAACGAGATGCTCTTCATCATCCGAGGCAACCTCGACTCCTACACCACCAACGGCGGCCGCACCGGCTTCTTCAATTCCTGCACCATCGGCCCCGCCGACTTCTGCGGCGAGGAGCTGCTGACGTGGGCCATCGATCCGCACCCCAGCCTCATCCTCCCGTCCTCCACCCGCACCGTCAGAGCCGTCTCAGAGGTGGAGGCGTTTGCGCTCGTGGCGGACGACTTGAAGTTCGTGGCGGCGCAGTTCCGGAGGCTGCACAGCAAGCAGCTCCGCCACAAGTTCAGATTCTACTCTCACCAGTGGCGGATGTGGGCGGCGACTTTCATTCAGGCGGCCTGGCGGAGGCATAAGAAGCGGATGATCGCGGCCAAGGTGAGAGCGTTCATGGAGGTTGGCGATGATGATTGTGAAAAGGAGGAAGCGGATGTGAGTAATTCGGGATCGGTAAGTTTAGGATTAGCTGTTCATGCTGCGAAATTGGCGGCATCAGGTCGTAGGGTTCATCACAGACACTCTGATTCTAATTCTAGGGCTGTAGTTGCATCTCTGCAGAAGCCTGCAGAACCTGATTTCTCTGTAGATTTTGCTTGATATTGGTTTTTACAAAAGCAGTATATATGTGTAATTTAAATCAAATCCTGCATATTTCACTCACTGTGAACTTTCTTCACTGTATCATCTGAGTTCATAGACTCTCACTTTGATGTGATTATAACTTTGAAAGTAGCTCAGTTAGAAGTATGACAGCAACTGGAATTTGCATTTGCTGGAGTGAAGCAGAAGTTATGCACTCACCAAAGATAGGTGTGTTTGGCTGACTTGCAGGTAATAAGTCACAAGTAGGATAATAATGTTCATTCCACCTTTCTGTCTTCTACTCCAAGACAGATCACCAGAAGAAATCTTTGAAAATTTTCTTATTTTTCAGGTAAGCCACCAAATTTGGAGTGTAATGTGTACTTAATGACCAGAAAACAAAAAGGAATAGTATTTCACATTAGATGATTCAAGAAGTGCCCTTTTATTCCAACCAAATTGGAGCACTGTTTTTTGGGTGAGGGAAATTTTTGATCTTTTTATCATCTTATTTTTTAGTCTGTATACTTTTGGGATACTTAAATGGTGCAAGATTTTTAATTGGATGCACAAAGGTTCATTCTCGATTTGCGTGTGAATATCTTTAGTTTGATCCAACATATACCTATGAATGTGTAAATTGGTTTGAAGAAGTGGTCCAACTGAGCAGGTCGTCTACTCACTCTCACACACGGGAAGTCTTAGCTTCTCACACACGGGAAGTCTTAGCTTCGAAACTCCATGGAAAGAGTTTTGACTGTGTTTTAAACAGCCCCAGTGCCCCACCATGGGGTAAAAAATTTTGTAAATTGGTTTAAAAAATAAAGTTAAAAACATCCCCTATGCAAAATGAGAACTAATTTGAAGCATTAAATATGGCATCTAAAGGCTATACCACAAACATGTGTGTGTGTTTATAACTACATTGATTTTTGAAGTGACTGTTTGTTTTGAACATTTTATAAGATAATTTTTAAATTCATTTGCACCAATTGTTTAATCATCTGAATGTGATACATTCATAATATATAACTATTATTATTATGGGAATGAGTGAATTATTGCTAATTACGTATCATAAATATCTGAAGGATGAGTAATGACTCATGAGTGCCAATAATGTCATTGCTTGCAAAAACAGTAACTGGCCACATCATAATCTTAAGCTTATGTTTTTCACCAACTAAGCATATAGTATATAAATATATTAATGGAAAAGAGTTTCTCCAATACTCTCCATTCCATTCATCTTCTTCAATTCAATTGCCCTCCTCTACCTTCAGGGCTCTAATGGTTGATAAGATTCCCTAAATTTAGAATTGGTTTACTATCACTGGTAAATATTTTGGGTCTATTTGAGTAACTTTGGAGTACTATTTTCTACATTCATGATTCATGTTTAGGTCTATTTGAAGGAGGTAATATCCCTTTCACAGAGTTTTTATACTCTTTTATCAAAGCTCCTCTGTCTGCTCCTATAGGTAATTAAATTCCTCAATTGCATCGTACATTCGTACTGTATATGTGTTATACTTATACGGAGTATTTTATCTATTATTAATTTTAAATAGTTGTTCTATTATGTGAAAATAAAGTAGAGAAAAAATGGGAGAAAAGTCAAGCGTCCAGTTGGGGGTAATTGGGGCATTGTTCCTATCTGTGGCATCATCAGTATCCATTGTCATTTGCAACAAAGCCTTGATGAGTAACCTTGGTTTTAAATTTGGTAAGTACATTATTTTTATCATTATAAAGAGTAGAGATCTGGTCAGGCACGCCTAGCGGGACCTTCCGTCCTTCCAAACTATTTTGAACGCCTTTTAGGTCAAATTCTTTATGAAATTCTTTCAGCAAGTTCTTCATAAAGTATAAATAATGCTCACATATTTCAGCTTAAAATTCAATCAGGAAATCACTTAACTAAATTTCTCGACCCGAAAGACTCTCAAACGGGCTTGGACGTATAGGACATATGATCACGCGCACCTGACTAGACCAGTCATCTTATTATAAATATCTTAATTTTGTTGTGAACTTGAGATTGATCTTGTTAATGAAATAGTTAACTAATGTAATATTAAGTGATTATGAAAGTAATTGTATGACTCTTATTATGTTGATTCCATTGTAATGATCGTGATATATATATATATTTATTTTATGTTTAGCAACAACATTGACGAGTTGGCATTTGATGGTGACATATTGCACTCTCCACGTAGCATTAAGGTTAAATTTCTTTGAGAACAAACCAATAGAATTGAAGACCGTGATGCTCTTTGGCATTTTGAATGGCATTTCTATTGGCTTTCTTAACTTGAGCCTTGGCTTTAATTCCATTGGCTTCTATCAGGTAACTTATTTTATATACAAAATCAAGATATTTATAAAATGAAGTATATCATGTCTCATTAATTTCTATGGCGTTTTTTAGTTAAGAGAAAAATCTTTTATACATGTCATTTGTGCAAGTTTTTGTACACATCCTTTATTTTGAATTCGTCTGAAAAACGCAAAATTTTCTGAAAAATGAACAAAGTTTTACTGTGTGGTGGGTAAAAAACGACGTGTACACGAAAAACTATCTCTTTATTTAAGTGTGCTTCTATTTCTGTTTCCCTTGTGCAGATGACAAAACTTGCAATCATACCTTTCACCGTGTTGCTAGAAACGATTTTCTTGAAGAAACAATTTAGGTAACATATTAAGGGGTTAATTTCTTTTATCAATGTATAATTATTTATTTGTAACTCTATACTCCGTATTAATTTTATTTATTTTTCAGTCGAAATGTGAAATTATCTCTCCTTGTTCTGTTGATTGGCGTTGGCATAGCTTCCATTACGGATCTTCAACTCAACCTTGTTGGAACAATCCTTTCTCTACTTGCCATTATAACGACATGCGTTGGTCAAATTGTATCCTTAATTCCTTACCTTTTAATATCATGCCTAGATTTTTTACAATGAAACTGGACCCTAAATATCGATAAAATGCATTTTTCTCTCGTAACTATAGAGGATGAAAAAACCATGTTTTCTTTTTATTACCATTCTAGACTATTTTCTTTTGAATTATTGACTGTTTGGTTTCAAAATTGCCGAAATGTACAAACATTGTGAGAACAAATTTCTTCATAGTAAATGGGAAATTAATCGATCTCACACTAGATGAAAGTTTATCTTATTGATGTTGAATTCTCAAAGTGTGAACCATTGAGATGTTACCTTACATAAGACAATTCAGTGGGACGAAAAAAGATAAGAGAGTGATATTTAAAGTACGAAATAATATAGAAGTATTACGTAGTACTATGTATGAGATTAAAAACATAAAAATGAGAAAGTTACTATTTTGAGTACATTTTTTTTGCTTTTTACGAAGACGAATAACAGTCCTATTCATATATTTCGGGATCAATCATTCGCTGAATAATTAATTTGAACATTATTTATAATACGTAGTAACATTTAACCATTTTTGTTAGTATTGGGATTCATTTATTATCGAGAGAAATATGCCTAAATCGAGAATAGGATTCAAACAGGATTATTTTTGCTAACAACCTATAGCTACTGGCTAAAAATATATTTTCCCCAAATTGTAATGGTTTTAGATTTGATTAAATAATTGTCTATCCTTACATTTCTCTACAACTCAGCTGACCAACACAATACAAAAGAGGCTGAGTATCTCATCGACCCAGCTTCTATATCAATCAGCCCCATTTCAAGCTACAATTCTCTTTATTACTGGGCCTGTGGTGGACCAATATTTAACCAAACAAAATGTCTTCGCTTCCACATATTCTCCAATCATACTGGTATGTACTATGAATAAATATGGCATATGCTCCTCTAATAGGCCCAAAGGGCAAACACCAATCTGCTTTGCAAATTCCAACCATTTGATGGTTATGGGGATGTAGAGGGCCGGGAACCACCGAACCACGCTAAACCATGATTCCCGACCTCAACTACCCGAGACAAATTGAAGAACAGACATTATCATTAAGATAATATATCATGTAACCAAACATTCCAGCCCGACTGGTTGTGAGGTTACCATGCATAGTGAGAGGTCTCGAGTTCGAAACACACAAGGCACATAAGGGTTTCAAACTCAATGGAGTGAGTTTTAGCCCTATTACTCCAGCCCCCTCCCCCCTCCCCCAGACCCCCTGGAGTTAAAAAAAGATAATATATCATGTTAACAAATTTATATATTATTTAATAATTCGTGTGCAAAAGTATGTTACACTAACCTAGTGTGACATAGTATAAAGCATGTTTGGTAGGTTATAACTTGTATGGTTGGTACAATAGTATATTTTATCAAAATTCCACCTTTTTAAGTGCTATTGTAATTTTTAGATGTTTTTAGAAGTTATTTGAGTAGCTTCTAAGATAAAATCTCTTACTTTTAGCAGCATTAATCAGTTACAATAATTTCTTATATACTAAAAACTCAGTTTTTATCAAATAACTATAATAATTTTCTATAAAAAACTTTCCCGTTACTAAAAGCTAATTGTTACTAAAAAAGCTCAAAAAATATTTCTTCTAACTGATGCGTACAAATGCGTATCTATATTGATCTTGTTCATTTTTGCTATTTATGAAGGGATTCATAGTACTCTCATGTTTGATTGCGGTTTCGGTGAACTTTAGCACATTCTTGGTGATTGGGAAGACATCACCAGTGACATACCAAGTCTTAGGGCACTTGAAAACTTGTCTGGTCCTTGGCTTTGGGTACACATTGCTGCATGACCCCTTCACATCTAGGAACATCATTGGGATTTTGGTTGCCATAATTGGGATGGGTTTGTACTCCTATTTCTGCACCCTTGAACACAGGGTGAAACAAGCCGCAAATCTATCATCTATGTCTCAGGTATGATTCAATTCTTTGAAAGTATGAAACTGCCATAATTCTTCAAAAACATTTGTTCATTATTATAATGTGTAGGCTACATTATATTTTGATTGTAAATGACATATAGTAAAATATCAAAATTCAGGAAAACTACATCAACACAAAACGTCACATACCGATTACCCTCATAAAACCAGAACTAGAGTCAATCATCTTCCAAAAAAGCTATATAACTCTAGTTGTTACTTGGTCCAAAAGGTTGAATGCCCAACCCCAAGGCCTCCACCCCGACCTGACAGGATGGTGGGGAGGTTAATCACGGTGACTCAGTCAACAAAGCGGCGGTAGGCCTTATACATGTGCGCACCAGAGGTCCAACCTTATTTCAGGTTCTGTAACCTCCACACGACCGCTGCGAGTTTCGAAACTTGGTCACTTGGTCCAATTTTCCCACCACTCGATCAACTCTAGTTGTTACTACATATTTTTTAATGTTTTCTTTACTTACGCATTAGACATTACTTTCGAATTAGACATTCCTATGTTTGTGTCTTCTCTAGTATCCAAGATGTCACTTTTGAACGGACATCTCGAAACAATCACTTATCTAATTTATTTACCTTTTGACAATTAGGCAGTAATTAAGTAAAAGTCTAAAATATTCAAAAAAGAAAGTAAAAGTCTAAAGACTAGTTTTCTCTTTAATCATGTTTTTTGAGGAAATTCTTAAAAACTCTTTCATTTATGTAAGGTTAATAAAGGCAAAGATGACAAGTCGCCACTTCTGCCGGGAAAGAACACAAGCCATCAAGAGAAAGAGAATCATGAAGCCACCAAAAAGGATTCCTTGTTTAGAGTTTAGTTTTGAAGTTTGATATATGAGAGGTCGATATATCCATCTCTCCATGAGCTACGATATTTTTGTTCCACACGTATTGAAAATTTGACATTGATCATGTAAAGGTCGTGTTTATAGTAAAATGCATAAATCATACCTTTGTGGCTCTGTTAATGTATTTTGGTATGTAATTATGCTATGAAACAATTCAAATGTACACAGAAGCAATGCTTCCATGGTTAAAATTTCAATTAATACTACCAGTTGAATCAAGAACTACAAATTTATTTAGAATATTGGAAGGCAGGAACAGATTTTATGTTAAGGACAAATTATTTTTTCCTAATAGTTTAAAACTATTTTCCTTATATATATATATATATATATATATATATATATATATATATATATATATATATATATATATATATATATATATATATATATATATATATATATATATATATATATAAGGAAAATAGTTTTAAAATATTAGGAAAAAATAATTTTTCAAATCTAATATAATTATTTTTCAACCTAACTCATCAAGCCAAATTTCCACTCCAATCAAGTGTTGTGATATTCTTCCCAAAAAAGTGTTGTGATCGTTTTACTCCTTTTTGACCACGGAAGTCTTTCGGTTTCCATTTTGGTAACAACTTTTGCGCGGAATAATATTCACGGTGGAAGGTGTAAGAAGCTAGTAGCCTAGCACTCTTGTGATCTTGTCTACAAGATCCTCAAAAGTCAAAAGACAAATGCTTTATGTGTTAATATTAATCGGTCAATCAACAGGTCAAGTGCTTTAACCCGTGTGTTGCATAGATAACAATTGAAATTGAAATTTATTTAATTTGAAATTCATTCATTTCATGTATAACAACACTTCCCAAAAAAGTGTTGTGATCGTTTTACCCCTTTTTGACCACGGAAGTCTTTCGGTTTCCATTTTGGTAACAACTTTTGCGCGGAATAATATTCACGGTGGAAGGTGTAAGAAGCTAGTAGCCTAGCACTCTTGTGATCTTGTCTACAAGATCCTCAAAAGTCAAAAGACAAATGCTTTATGTGTTAATATTAATCGGTCAATCAACAGGTCAAGTGCTTTAACCCGTGTGTTGCATAGATAACAATTGAAATTGAAATTTATTTAATTTGAAATTCATTCATTTCATGAACAATGTATATCACTACAAAAAAATTCGCCTGTAGTCACGGACCGTAGTCACGGATTTGGTCCGTGACTAGTTAGTCACGGTTCTAATCACGGTGTAGTCACGGAATCGTTAAAAAAAAAGTAGTCACGGATTTGTCCGTGACTACGTCCGTGACTAGAGGTAGTGACGGACCTAGTCCGTGACTAAAGTGTTCCGGCCAACCCATTTTGGCCTCCGGCGGGATTTTTTTTTAATTTGAAATTAGTCACGGACAAATCCGTGACTAGTACCGTGCCTACAGTTAGTCACGGACGTGTCCGTGACTAAATCCGTGACAAGTGCAAAATTGATTTTTTCAACGCTCCAAATTTAAAGTGCACCGACAATTCGTACAAAAACAAGTAGTCACGGACACATCCGTGACTACGTCCGTGACTACAAAATTTATATATGCAGCCTCGGCTTCCTTCAACAAAATCACACCTTCTACGTACTCCAAATAGAATTCCAGATAGAATTGAAGGATGTAATCTACCCATCTCATATCATTTTTCCTGTTTTTGCATATAAGGTATGTAATTTGAATTACGTATTTTTTGTAAATTAGTTAAATATGTAAATTTGTTAATAAATACATATGTAAGTATATATATTATTAAATATAATATTGGCAATACATATGTTACTAATTTTAAAATATAGGATTAAAATTACGTAAATTAGTTAAATACGTATGTAAGTATATATGATTAAATATAATTTAAATGCATATTATTAATATTAGTTAATAAATGTAAGTATTATTTAATTCAAATGACTTTATATATATATATATATATATATATATATATATATATATATATATATATATGTATATGATTAAATATAAGTATACGATTTCTTTATATTGGCAATTATTGTTAATTAAGGCGGCCTAATTTAGGATTAATAATGATTTAAATTAGGGTTAGTTAATTTAATTTAAATGTGTTTATTATATATATATATGCTCAAATTATTGAATTTGCTCATATTATTTAATTTAGTACGTAAATTGTTAAATGTGCATTATTAATAAGATTAAGATGTTGATAATTTTAGTATTGTGGATTAAATTAATGTCATTAACGTATTGTGCATGTTTATAGTCTAATAATATTAATTATTGGACGTTAGTTAATTTTAATGGGATTTTAGTGAATTTTAGTGAATTTTAGTGAAATTTTAGGCAATTAGTTAATTTTAAGGGAACTTTTGGGAATTAGTTAATTTTAAGTGAATTTTAGTGAATTTTAGTGAAATTTAAGGAAAGTAGTTAATTTTAAGGGAATTTTAGGGAATTAGTTAATTTTAAGTGAATTTTAGTGAAATTTAAGGAAACTAGTTAATTTTAAGGGAGTTAGTTAATTTTAGGGAATTAGTTAATTTTAAGGGAATTTTAGGGAATTAGTTAATTTTAAGGAAATTTTAGTGAAATTTAGTGAAATTTAAGGGAATTAGTTAATTTTAGGGAATTAGTTAATTTTAAGGGAATTTTCGTGAATTTTAGTGAAATTTAAGGAAACTAGTTAATTTTAAGGGAATTAGTTAATTTTAAGGGAATTATTTAATTTTAAGGGAATTTTAGGGAATTAGTTAATTTTAAGGGAATTTTAGTGAAATTTAGTGAAATTTACGGGAATTAGTTAATTTTAAGGGAATTTTAGGGAATTAGTTAATTTTAAGGGAATTTTAGTGAATTTTAGTGAAATTTAAGGAAACTAGTTAATTTTAAGGGAATTAGTTAATTTTAAGGGAATTATTTAATTTTAAGGGAATTTTAGGGAATTAGTTAATTTTAAGGGAATTTTAGTGAATTTTAGTGAAATTTAAGGAAACTAGTTAATTTTAAGGGAATTAGTTAATTTTAAGGGAATTATTTAATTTTAAGGGAATTTTAGGGAATTAGTTAATTTTAAGGGAATTTTATTGAAATTTAGTGAAATTTACAGGAATTAGTTAATTTTAAGGGAATTTTAGGGAATTAGTTAATTTTAAGGGAATTTTAGTGAATTTTAGTGAAATTTAAGGAAACTAGTTAATTTTAAGGGAATTAGTTAATTTTAAGGGAATTATTTAATTTTAAGGGACTTTTAGTGAATTTTAGTGAAATTTAAGGAAACTAGTTAATTTTAAGGGAATTAGTTAATTTTAAGGGAATTATTTAATTTTAAGGGAATTTTAGGGAATTAGTTAATTTTAAGGGAATTTTATTGAAATTTAGTGAAATTTACGGGAATTAGTTAATTTTAAGGGAATTTTAGGGAATTAGTTAATTTTAAGGGAATTTTAGTGAATTTTAGTGAAATTTAAGGAAACTAGTTAATTTTAAGGGAATTAGTTAATTTTAAGGGAATTATTTAATTTTAAGGGAATCTAACGATCCTCCTGAAGCTTCGACCTCGTATCAACCACATGAGGATGAAAATCCGATATTTTATGAACCTTATGTGGATGAAGGTTTAGCTGAAAGGTTTCAAGATGTTTTAAAAGCAGCTGATCAACGTAGGAGACGATATATTTTTAAAAAGAAGTTGATTTTGATCCTATAATAAGGAGCATTTTTCTAAGTCATTACAACATTAGGTTGAATATATTTCAATCTCCCTTACAGGATTACCTCATCTAAAATCATCAATACGCTAGCTAGTAATTCAACGTCATCCTGAGACGTTGGATGAGTTGCGAAACATCTTTGGGAAGAACGTACAATTCTATCCATCTCAATGTCTTCTCACAAAACATAATTCCAATATATCAGAATTTGATAGAACTCTATCTCTTGATCATGAATTGAGCACTCCTGGAAGTTTGTTGCAAATCATTATATATAAAGTAGTAGTTTAGTTGTTTGATCTCACATATTACAATACCTTTATCAATATTTTAAGTGATATGAGATATAGCATGGGAAAACGATTTATGGAGATGGTCATATTTTTCGCTATAATTGGGACTTGTTTCTCTCTCAAAAATCAAAAGGGGACTATGAGTCCAAATCACATGGTCTTCGACAAAGTTACACTACCTTATTTTCAGGAGAAACGTCATAAATGTACTAGATTTTGTTTTTTGAAGTGCTTTTGTGTGAATTGTGAGAATTGTTAGAATGACATTGCAATTCAAAGATTTATTCGCTCCAATCTAATTTCAGAGAGCATTCATACTAATGACTCTCCCAGAAGCGGTTGTAGTGAATCAATCATTCATACTATTCCAAGGGGTCTCCTAAAGGTGTTGGAACATAATATATTCATGATAGATGTACCAAGTTCATGCTATACATTTGTATACAAGTAGTCACGGACACATCCGTGACTACGTCCGTGACTACAAAATTTATATATGCAGCCTCGGCTTCCTTCAACAAAATCACACCTTCTACGTACTCCAAATAGAATTCCAGATAGAATTGAAGGATGTAATCTACCCATCTCATATCATTTTTCCTGTTTTTGCATATAAGGTATGTAATTTGAATTACGTATTTTTTGTAAATTAGTTAAATATGTAAATTTGTTAATAAATACATATGTAAGTATATATATTATTAAATATAATATTGGCAATACATATGTTACTAATTTTAAAATATAGGATTAAAATTACGTAAACTAGTTAAATACGTATGTAAGTATATATGATTAAATATAATTTAAATGCATATTATTAATATTAGTTAATAAATGTAAGTATTATTTAATTCAAATGACTTTATATATATATATATATATATATATATATATATATATATATATATATATATGATTAAATATAAGTATACGATTTCTTTATATTGGCAATTATTGTTAATTAAGGCGGCCTAATTTAGGATTAATAATGATTTAAATTAGGGTTAGTTAATTTAATTTAAATGTGTTTATTATATATATATGCTCAAATTATTGAATTTGCTCATATTATTTAATTTAGTACGTAAATTGTTAAATGTGCATTATTAATAAGATTAAGATGTTGATAATTTTAGTATTGTGGATTAAATTAATGTCATTAACGTATTGTGCATGTTTATAGTCTAATAATATTAATTATTGGACGTTAGTTAATTTTAATGGGA